GGAGGGGGCGGGCATTCCTTGGTAGTTTGGCAGTAGGGGCGGGGGTCGAATCGCAGAAGCAAATCGTGGCGGAACGCCGCTTGAAAGGGGCTCGGCCGTTCTTTCGGCCTTCGTAGACCTACTGGGAAAAAGGGGCTTCGTTCTTTATTTATCATTCAGTAGGTCAGGCGGGATCCTGCACGACAACATGCTCCTACTCAACCCAAGCGCCCTGAACTTCAACACTGACGTTGAAGTGTCCCTGAGAGAGCCTTGTGATCAGCTTTCGCATGGCAAAACAGCCCGCTGCAATGGCCAGCATTGCCATTGGAATGAAGGTTGCGCGGGGCCGAACTCGGTGCCCGTGGCGAACCCGTCGCGCTTCTCGTCTGATAGTGCATGGGACTGCGTCGGGCATGCAAATTCATTCCTACAGGGAAGATAATGAGCAAATGTGCGATTATTTCTTAGTGCGGTCAGTCTTTCAGGGTAAATCCGTGTAATTCCGAGCACATCACAATAAACCCAAACAATTTAGCGTAAATCCGAGTAAATGAGTTAATCTTTATTCATTTATTCATTTACTCCAACTTAGAAGGTGACCAATTCCGTAGTTGTTCCAACATTCGAAGTTTGTGACAAAGAATGGGCGGGGGCTCGTAACCGGCTGCTTCGTGGGCGCCCCGTGCCTCGGCGGGGCCGCGCTCGGCCCGGCGGCGGCTTCTGCCCCGCGACGAAAAGGCAAAGTGTATTGGAAGACCCGGGGAGCTAAGAACGCCGTGGAAAAGCATCCGGCACGGTCCTGCAGCGGCCCAAAGGGCATGGGAGTGCTGGTCTGGGAGAGCTTCCGCGCTCAACCACTTTCCTGGGCTGTGCGGGCGCAGCCCCGCGCTGCTACTATTCGGGCAGTAGGTGAAGTTGGCGGGGGAGCGGTGGCGCGAAGGCATGGCAGTGAGTTACCGCCCCTGCTGGCGAGGCGACTCAAGATCCGCGAACACTGCTAGCAGTCCCCGATTAAGAAAAGGAACCGCAACATTGTAAGGCGAGCGGTGGCCGCTCGGAGTCGCGGCGCTCCAACAGAATGGACCGAGTGGCGCCGCGTGTTCGTCTGCGGCCTGTTCCGGGCCGAGCGAGGTCGATGGGCAAACGAGCCAGTGTGGTGCGGCCCAGCAACGGTGTCTGGACGACGTAACGACGACGTCCGTGTACAATGCGGCGGAACGCATTTTTTGGTTGCCCCGGGGCACCCGAGACCGTGGAGTCTCGAGGGAGAGCAGCTGGCCGAAGATGGAGATCTCGCCCAGACCGTGGGCGAGATCCAGCAGGCACGAGCCAGGGAGAGTTTGAAAACCTCGCGGGCCTGAGCCCCTGGCCGCCGGACCTGGAGGCGGCCGACGGACTCGCGCTGCAGGGCGAGTCAAACGAAGAACCCGCGCTCCCCGAGGTAGGGGCCGAGCGGGGGGCTGGGGGGGCCGCGGCGTCGCTGACGGCCCGCCTGGGGCCGCGCCGAGAAGCGGGCTGCCCCGCCCGCCGTCGGTCTCGCGCGCCATCCCGGCGCCGGTGCGCCCGGGATGGCGCGTGACCGAGCAGGGGCGCCTCGCCAGGGGCCCGCGACGCTTGGGCTCGCGTCGCGCCCGAGGGTTCGACGGGTAGTCTCTGCGCATCGCGCGCGAGAAACCGGGCGGGGCTCGGCGGTGCGCCGAGCGTCGGGCCCGGCGGGTTCGAATGATCAGTCCGCGCGAAGTCGCCGGGCCCGCCGCCGATCGGGCGCCGGTGGTTTTCGGGGAAGAGAAGCAGAGAAGTCGAGGGCCGACGTCTGCTGCGGTGGAAGGTCCCGATGCGGCACAGCGCGCGGGCCATTCCGCCGAGGGCGGGCCGCAGTAGGTCCATGAAGTGATGTCCGCCTGCCATCGCGGGGCGGGGTTCGAGTTGCCCGGCCAGAGGACGCGCGGTCGCATTCATCTCGCGCGAAATCGCCCCCGAACATCGCGGGGACTGCCGCGCCGCTATCGAGAAGGTGTGGGGCTCTTGGCTGCGCGTCAGGTGCGTGGCGGTGATGGGGGCAACAGAGTCGGAAGAAGTCTTGCGCGCAGTAGATCGTGGGCGGGATCTCGGTAGTGAAATGAAGCCCAAGGGACGAATGCGGCTCCGAGGAACGCCGAGAATCTGCGCCCCGTGAACGCGAAGCTGAGGTTGTGCGCCCAAGACCAGCGCGACCCAGATGCGAAGCTGGGCCCTGTCAAGACGGACGCCCCCCGCTGTGCAACGGTCCGGGCTCCGCGCGTTCCTGCAGCTGGCGACCGATCAGGGTTGGCTTGAACGGCTTGCGACATTTCCAGCGCCTTTTTCCAGGGGGGCCTTGGGAAGGACGGGGGCCTCTCTGCGTGCGCCGGCCGCGGGGTGGCCTTCCGGGCTCGAGCAGGGCCAGCTTCTGACGATGGAGACGAGAATCTATGGGTTGCCAGTCACGCCGAGAGCTTGTTTCAACGCGGTCCGCAAGGCCATGGTCGAGGAAATTCGGTGGTGGCAGCTGCGGCTAGATGTGGCGATCTTCTCCCAGTATATAGGCGACCGCCTCGCCGGAATGCTCGTCGGCCACGCGGGCGACTGCGTGGTCGCCCTCGACGGCAGCGAGGGGATGCGATCCAAACGATGCGCAGCTAAAGGAGATTCGGATCTCGGGCGGTGGTGTCCGATCGGGCCAGCGGCGACCTCTGCGCCAGGCGCCGCATTGCGGTTAACGGGGGCGCAGTAGAGCTATGCGTGCTGGAATTCGTTGAAGATCGCTTCGGGGAGGCCAGCAATTATTGGGCGGAGATGGGCGAGGCACCCCTCGCTCACTTCGGCAAGGCCGATTTTAATCCCTGACGGGGTCGCTGCGCTGGCTGGCCAGCTAGCGCCGACTCGACGAAGCTTTCGAGACGCGCCAGTTCCAGAAGCTGCAGGGGGCCCCCACGCGCGCCGACGCGTGGGGGCTGAACAAGTGCATCCGGGGCGTCAAGGCCAGCTGCGACGCGCGGCTGAGCATCGTTCCCACTGAGGGCCGTGTAGGCGTGGGCTGATGACACGATTCGTCCCTTCGTGGGAGCATGAGCGAGCCGCTGGAACGCGATGGAGACCTCGCGTGTTTCCGCCACAATGTCGAGCTGGAGTGGTAGTGGCTGCTCTCGGGCTGGGCGTGTTGGAGCAAGACGAGCTGCCCATATCCATGCAGGATTTGTGCAGCGGGGCTGGCTACTGGGTAGCCGCCGCAATGCCTGCAGCCGAAGCGGCGGCGTGCCTCGTGGGTCAGTGCAGGGCCTACTACATGCGGGTGCTGTCATGAGAGTCCACGCCCGGGTGTAGCTGCGCCCCGGTGGTGGGGCGCGGTGAGGATCAGATGCCCGTCGTCTTGCCCGCCGACTGTCTTAGCCTATATGATCACGTGAAGGTCGAGGGCCATATCCGCAGGGGCTGCGTCCCCTGCGGCCATCCCCCTCCCTGTCAGAATGCGATGCGCCAGAGTCGCGTCGGTGCGTCTCGGCGCTGCCTCGGCGCTTCTGGGAACATCGTGCGGGGGCGGAGGGGGATCGCCGGCGATCGGCATATATTGAGGCGTTGGCGTTCTCCTAGTGGCCTTCGGCCCATCCCGCCTCCGTGCCTGGGTTGTCGGTCTGAGGTTCCTTGTATATGTGTTGGGGTGTCGAGGGGGGCCTCTCCGGGTCCTCTTGGAGGCGGTTTGGGCGCCTCCTGGGGGCCTCTTGGCCTCGTGGGGTATTTTTTGGGCCTCTTGGAGGCCTTGTGGGCGCGTCTTGGGCGCCTATTGGGGCCTCTGAGGGCTTCTTGGGTCTTCTCGGGGCCGCTTGGGGCTTCTTGGCGGCTTCTTGGGGCCTCCTGGGGGTTTCTCGGGGTGCAGATATTGAGTGTCCGGTTCGTGGTCCCGTGATTGGGCCCGTTCTGGGGCCGTCTGGGGCCCTCTTCGGCCGTCTTGAGCGATTCTTGGGCCATCTTGGAGCCTTCTTGGGCTGTCTTCGGGCACTCTTAGAGGCGTCTTGGGTTGTCTTGGGGCGGTCATGGGAGCTTCGCGGGCCGTGGGGCATCGGGGGGCCGAAAATGCGAGAAGTCCAAAATCTTTGGAACACCTGCGTGCGATTTTGGCTTCTTGGGGCTCTCGGGAGGTCTCTTGGGGCGCTCTGGTGGCCGTTTTGGGTCTTATTGGGTCGTCTTGGAACCGTCTTCGGGCGCCTTGGAGCACTCTTGGTCTCGGCAAGTCGAGCGCGGCGCAATGTGCAAAGGTCTATGGCATCGGGGGCGCGACCACTGCCGAATTTACGAGGGTCGGTTGCCTCGGGGGCGCGAGCGCTGTAACTTACGACGGCTTGTTGTCTCGGGTGCGCAACGAACGTGTAATTCACTAAGGTTTGTTGCCCCGGGGGCGCGAACAGTGCGTGCTTCGCGAGGGGCGATGGCCTAGGGGGCGCGAATCTTCTGTATGTTGATGCGTCCCGCGCCCCCCCCTCATGAATTCAGAAAGCGCGATTCGGGCGCAGTTAATTGGGCGGTTTGCACCCCCCCCCCCCTGTCCCCCCCCCCATCGCTCGGATGTTAGTAATTTACAGTGGGAAGCAGAAGGCTGCACTGTGACATTAGAGACTCGACGCTGCAACTTGCGCAGGGGGGCGTCGACTTCGGCCTACAGCCTGGTGGTCCCACCAGGGGTCCGGCGGATTTCTGATGATCGGCCTGGCGCGGCGTGGCTGGCCACGTTGATCGCGCTCGCCGCGCGGCCCCTGGCGAGACGAGAACAGAGCGGGGTTGATGTGATTGCCTAGTAGGTGCATGATCTCAGACAGGCTGACGAAGGGCGGTCTGTGCGAGAGGGTCTGGGAGTTTTTGGCGACGGCCCGAGCTGGGGTGCGCGAGCGATGTGCGTGGGTGGGGCGAAGCGAGTGGGGACGAGAAACAAATGGAAAATCAGTCGTTTCCTTCCTCGTCCCCTGCCTCCGCCAGGGTCGTCGCGGTGGCCGTTGGGGCTCAAGCAGGCGCGGGCTCGCGCGGGCCCGTGGCCCAGGGCGGCTCAGCGACGGGCGGCGGGCGCCAGGGCGAATGGACGGCGTCTGCCAGAGCCGCTATGGAAGAGCGGCGGAGCCGCAGGCCGCAGCGCGAGGCCCGCGGCGAGAAGGCGGAGGGCGCCAGTGCGCGCGGCGAAGACAGAGGAGGGGCCGGGCGATGGTCGTGGCCAGGAGGACAGGGAGCCACGGGAGTTCGCTAGTCCTGCCAGCGGGGCAGAGCTGGAGGCCGCGGCTGGAGCTAGCGTGTATCGCCTGGTCCTCGCGAGGGAGTTCGGTCCAGGCGGTGGGCCCGTCTGCTGGGCGCGCTCCGACCCGGAGGGCGAGGGGGCGATCGGTTGGGCGCCGACGTTTTCCCTGCGGAGCACGGCGCGCTGGAGACGCCGGACCAATGGCTGACGTTCGATGGGTCCCAGATCGAAGGTCTCGAGGAGCGGGTCTGGGAGCTCAGGCCGTCGAAATTCTTCAGGGTCGCGTGCCCAGGGCAGTGGGCGCGGAAGTCGCCTGAATCGCCAGAGGATTTGGCCAGCCGCTGGAACGGCCAGGTGCGCGACGGCAACAGGCGGAAGCGCTGGGAATTCGTCGGGGTTTTGATGGAGGAGTATCCTTTGGCAGCAAGTTGTTCTCTCGTCGTGATTATGAAGCAGCAGGCAAATTTCGCAAAGCGCGAGGGGGTAGCCTGGTCTGGAGGTTGCGTGGGCTGCCCCAGTCCCACCGCGAGCGGCGGGGAGCTCATCCAGCGAGAGCGCCCAGGAGTTTGAGGAGGATGCCTCAGGACACTCGAAGGCGAGTCGCCGCGCGCAGGCGGAGACGCAGGCCCCGAAGACGCCGCGGCAACACAAAAAGGACAGGAGGGGCCCAGGGGGCCCAGCGGAGACCTTCGAGGAACGGCAGGAGGCCGAAGAGACGCCGACAGCCGGAGGCTGGCGCGGGACACGCCACTCGAAGAACGGCAAGAATTGTGGCAAGCAAGTGGGCAAAGAGTCGATGGGCGGCAAGACCTAGGGTAAGAAGTCGAAGGGTCGTGCTAGACTGAACACCCCTCAGCCGGAACCAGGTAGTATGCCATCAGACTTGCTGCGCACACACGTCTCCAGGCTGTGCTACGGAGAGAGGCGCTGGGGAAACTGGTGCTCCTACTACTACCACGCCGACGGCAGCACAATGTCCGACGAGGCCTTCGCGGAGCAGGAACAGTCCGCCGGCGGTCGGAGACGCTAGGCGGCGGTGGAACGAGCTGGTGTTTCAAGGGGGGGACCGTTGTGTCCCATGTCGCGGCATGATCGCCGAAGGGCGACATGCTGGAATCGCGCGAGGTGGACATGACCCCGCAGGGGGGGAAGAGGAGGTTGGAATCTTCCACGTGGGACGACGATTCCACCGAGACGCTCGACGGTGTCGGGTGGGGGGAGCACTTTTGGAATTTTTGCGGGAGATGGGAGAGGCAGTGCTGATGATCTGCACTGCCATCTCCTTCCACACTCCTCTCCCGCCGCCCTTTTCGGGTCAAGGTTCCCCGACGGACGGTCGGGGGAGCGGCTGCGTTAACTCTGCACCTCTGTGAGGGGACGCCTTTCGCGTATGGTGAAAACATGTGCCGCGACGACATAGCCAGTCCTCGGGCCCAGGATGGGTGCATATACGGCAGGTTCGTGTCGTCGTTGTCGTTGTCGTCGTCGCCGTCGTCGTCGTCGTCGTCGTCGTCGTCGTCGTCGTCGTCGTCGTCGTCGTCGTCGTCGTCGTCGGCGTCTGCGTCGGCGTCGGCGTCGGCGTCGGCGTCGGCGTCGGCGTCGGCGTCGGCGTGGGCGTCGGCGACGGCGTCGGCGTAGGCGTCGGCGTCGGCGTCGGCGTCGTCGTCGTCGTCGTCGTCGTCGTTGTCGTCGGCTTCGTTCTCGCCGTCGACACTGTCGCCGTCGCCGTCGCAGTCGTTGTGGCATACGCCTGCACCGATCCTGGCCATACGCCGATCCTGGGGTCCAGATTCGGTGCATCTACCTTCTGAGCTTGGCCAGGAAGGCACATGCGGCAGGTTGTGTCGTGTCGACGCGGCTGCGATCCCGCCGCGGGCGTTCAAGGTTGAATGCAACAGGTGGGCCGGAGTCGGCCCGCATGGAACGATTTGGCGATCGAGAAGCTGTCGATCGTACAGGGTTGAACGATCCACGCAGTGTCAGAAGCCAGCTCCGAAGTCGTCACGACGCGAGTCTGCCGTGACTTCCCGTCACGGCCAGGAATGCACACGCACCGATCTTGGGTCCAGGAGGGACCTGTCCAGCATCGGTATCGGCGTATAGCTTGCGCCCGCCAGCCCATGTCCTGCACGCGCGAGCGCATGCAGCATCGCAGCAACGCGCACCCTCGGCGCCCGCAGCCGCAGCAGCCGCGCACGGGGCCGCGGGGCGCGGGAGGTCGCACGCACCGGGGGGTGAGTTTCGGCAGCCTTGGGGGGGTCAAGTTCGCCGCCAGTCGCATCAGCGATGTCGCCAGGCTCACTCAGGGGCAACGTTAGGGGTGAGGGGGTGATGGGCTCAGGGGGGGATGAATTGACCCCCGCTCGCCCATTCATCGCCGATACGGGCTCGATAGCCCGCTTCGCCCGGGAACGTAGGGATTCGCCATCGGAGGGCTATTGCCGGCCCGCCGATCAATCGGCGAAGCATTGCCGATCCCAGTTCGATGTTCCCCCCTGAGCCAGTCCCCTCCTAAGGTTCCCCCTCACTCATCCAGGTGATGTCGGGATTCACGGGGTTTCACATCGCTAAGCACCTGAGGGTTACTGCCGAGCCCCGCGTCTGTGAAGCGACAGGTGCCATGGAGCGGCCGCAGTGCACTCGTGCGTTTCGCGCGGACGCATCGGGCAGCAGCCCCCGATGGTGCTGGCTATGTGCCTGCGCCAAGCGCGAGGAGCGCAGGCTGCGGCGGCGGCGTTGCCGCTGATGATGATGGTGGTTATGACGATGGTCAGACGTTGACGATTATGGTGATACTTCTGATGCTGGTGATGGAGGTGATGATGATGATGATGATGATGATGATGATGGTGATGATGATGAAGAAGATGAGGAGGACGATGATGATTATGATGATGGTGATGATGGCGCTGATGATGCTGATGGTGCTGATGATGTCGATGATCGTTGGCGACGGACGCTGGGATTATGAGCGAGGCGAGGCCGACCCATCGCTGGCCCCCTGCCCGCGCCCGCGCCTCTGCGCGTCGTCTCTGTTGGTCACAAGGTCTGCTGCAGCATCTTCGGCGCTGGGCGAGATGGGCCTGCACTGCACGCGTGCACCGCTGCCTGCCCAGTTCCTCTCGTTCAGTCCCTCACTGAGTATCGTTTAACCTATCCCCCCGTCCCCACTGGGCCACGATATCTGAGCCCCACCATCGCACCACCCTGGTTGGGCAGGCCCCTCGAAATCCGAAGGAAACAGCCTACATCACGATCTAGGGATCTAGGGGGTAGATCGGCCCGTGGGGCCTAGGCCAAGCCAATGGGGATAGGGATCGGTGAAACGATGTTCCCTCGCGTGTCCGCCCCCTTTGACCTTCTACCCCTCTGCCTCTCTCTATGTGTTTCCCTTTTCCTGTCCTCGTGTCGCTCCCATCTCTCGTGCTTTCCTCTCTCATCCCTCTTCTGCCATCCCCCGAACCTGGAAGGCCGAATCTCTTCTCTCTGCTCTATCCTCTGCCTCTCTCTCCCTCTGTCGGTAGCTCCCCACCTCCTCACCACCATCCATTTTTGGGCGTGTTCTCTGGCGCTCTCCAGGTCAACGCAGAGTTCGCCTTCCCGAACGAGTCGTCCAAGGCCCCGTCCTGCGGCGCTCTTTTCTGTGGGGGCGGATCGCGCTGGCCCGTCTTTTGCGCCTAGGGAGAAGGGTTTCAACAATTTCTGATTCCAGGGGTTCAAGTTTGTCAGAGTTACAAACATGTGATTTCGGTTCAGAAATTTCGCTCCCGGGCCCTCCATGTGAGACATCAGAAAATTGTGGCAGGCTGGTTGGTTGGTTGGCGGGTTGGTTGCTTGCCCGATTGGTTGGTTGACGGCTTGGTTGGTTGGCCGGTTGATTGGATGGTTTGTTGTTTCGTTGGTTGGTTGGTTGTTTGGCTGGTCGGTTGGATGGTTGATTGGCCGATGGATTGGTTGGTTGTTTGGTTGGTTGGCCGGTTGGTTGGTTGTGTGGTTGGTTGGTTGGTTGACTCGTTGGTTGGTTGGCTGGCTGGTTGGTTGGTTGACTGTTTTGTTGGCCAGTTTGTTGGTGGATTTATTGGTTGGTCGGTCGGTTGGTCGGGCTGTAAACATAGCCCCACCGCCTCAACCCTAGCCCTAGCACTATAATTATACCATCATCGTTAACAACCTAACCCTACCAATGAGCACACACCTTAAACAGAAGCCTTGCCACCCAAAACCCTTACACGCTGACCTTAAAACCCTGACCCTAATCATAAGCATTTAACCTGAGGCAAACACCCGATGCTCAGATGTCACCACATCTCGTAATCCTGACTCCAAGAACAATCTGTATCCCTGATCTCGAAATCGTGCTCTACTACTACCTTTGCCTCGTGGTAGCGGAAGGCAGCGAACAAGGCCGGCGGGCAGAACAAATTCTATTCCATTGTGCCCGCCGCCAGGCAACGCAGGGGGGCTAAACAAATATCATTTTACGTTTTTCGCCAGGTGGCAACGCACGTGGGCGAAATACATCTTCCATTCTAGTCGCCACGTGGCAGCGTAGAGGTGCAAACCAAATACACAGCTAAGCGATAAGTCACGTGGCAAAGCATAGGGGCTGAGATAATACTATTCTACGTGGTTCGTCACGTGGCGATTCAGGGGGGCCGAACAACATAGAATTCCACCGGGCTCGGCACGTGACAACGCAGAGGGGGCTGAAAAGACAGTAGTTTATTTTATTTGAATGAGTTACGCCATTGTCGACCCCCAGAAGGAGCGAGAGCTTGCGGCGATCGTGGAAGTTATTTGGTGGGTCAAGAGCCTCGTGGCGTCTGGGGGGCTTTGGGGGGCTTCTTGGGAGGCTTTTGGGGGGCCTCTTGGGGGCCTCTTGGAGACCTCTTGGAGACCTCTTTGGGCCTCTTAGGGGGCGCTTCGTGGGCTTCTGAGGGGCTCTTGAGGCCATCTTGGGGGGATCGGCTCGACATGTTAGTTCGTATTCGACCTCTACTCTTGGGGCCCTCGTGGGCCTCTCTAGGCCATCTTGGGGGTCCTGGGGCCGTCTTGGGACCCTCCTGGGTCGTCTTGGAGCTCTCTCAGAGGCCTCGTGGCCCGTCTTGGGACGATCTTTGGGGCCCCTTTTGCCGTCTTGGACGCTGCCAAGATGAAAAAGGCGAGTGTGCCAAACATGAACGTTTTCCTTCCAGAAGGTGGCGATTTTTTTTGCTTCTTGGTGCCGTGGAAGCTCTCTTGGGCCGTCTTGGGGGCCTCGTGGGCCGTCTCGAAGCAATCTTGGACCGTCGTGGGGCCACCCTAGGCCGTCTCGACGCTCTCTTGGAGTCTTGGCGCTCTGTGTGGGCCCTCTTGAGCCGTCTTTGGGCTCTTTGGAAGTTTCGGTAGCCCTTGTGGCTCGTTGACAAGCTCGCACCCCCACCCCCAAGTGGCCCCCCCCTCCTCTAATCGGATCTTGGACCCTGGGGGAGGGGGAAAGAGAGAGGGGGACAGCCAAATGGGCGACGGAAGAAGCCGGGGTCGTCTTCACCGACGTTGACGCGCAAGCTGCACGCGTAAGGCCGCGCGTAGGCGCCCTCGTCTCCAATGTAGCGTGCCGCGCCGGCGGCCCGCGTACGCCACCGCGTGACGTAAGGTCGCTATGTCATCTCACGTAAGACCCGTTTCTGATCATCGCGCAACTATCTTACACGCCTTTTCAGCCCTGGCAAGTGGCGGCGGCGGATTCGTGACGTGGCAGCGCAAGGGGCGAGAAGATACATTCCACCCTAGTCGCCACGCGACAGCGTAGAGGGGCGAAACAAATACAATTCTACGCTTTACGTCACGTGGCAACGCAGGGGGGCTGAGCGAAAACTGTGATTTCACTCTGTCACCTCGTCACGTGGCAACCAACGCACGAAGTGTGTGTGTGTGTGTGCGTGTGTGGGGCAACATCAGCTCGCTCTCCGCCGTCGCTCCTGGACGCACTTCTTTGTCGGTCCACTCGGTTGCTCGCTCTCCCCGCCTTTGAGGCCTGGTTGGCTTATGTCACCTTCCACCTACACTGTAGTTTCGTCCGCTCCCCGCCCCTCCCCGCCACCCAGCTGAATGGTGATGGCTGCCGCCGGGCGCTGCGGGACCTTGAGTTGTCTCTGAGATCTTTGCTGGGCATAGACGCGCGCGTTCCGCCGATTGGTCTAGACTTTCTACGCCCCGTCGCCGCGCGCGGGGCCGCGATTCCAAAAAGAATGGGGGCAACAAACATATAATTCATTTTTCTGGCGCGGAGCAACCCAGAGGGGCGAAAACGCTTTATCCTTCTTCCTCGTCGCGTGACAATGCAAATGGGCAAATCACATACTATTCTACCCTACTCGTCACGTGGCAATGCAGGTGGGCAGAAACAACAATTTCGCTTTGCTCGCCGCGTGGATGGAAACCCAGAGGGGCAAAACACATGCACATATGTGTTCTATCCGTCGCATGGCAACGGCGGGGGTGGGGGGGGTGGGGGAAGTACACTCATGTAGTTTCGGGCGGCAGAAATTCGCTTCCATTCTGCTCACCGCGTGGCAACGCAGAGGAGCGAACACACAGACATACAAGTTGTATCCTTCACGTGGCAACGCAAAGGGGACAGTCAATTTTTCGTCTTGTGTGTCCCGCACGTGGCAACGCAAGGGGACAAAGATACATTATCCCACTCTCCTCGTCGCGTGGCAATGCAAAAGACATGAGAACATCCCCCAAGCATTGACACCTAAGGGCTCATATTTGTTTTTCCAGGAGCTGGGCTCGTCTGCTGCCCCGGCCGGCTTGTTCTCGCCCCGTGGCCGCACCGTCACTAGTCGTCGCCGCCCGTCGCCGCCTCGTCGCGGGCTGGTGTGCCGCCCCAGCGGGCTTAGGGTCACCCCGCCGTCGCCCCGTCGCCGCTCGTCGCCGCTCGTCGCCGCCCGTCGCGCTCTTGACGCCGCCCGTCGCCGTTTCGTCGCCGCGTGGCATTGCAATCGCATTGCGTTGCGTTGCAGTCGCATCGCAATGCGCTGCAATCGCACCACGTAGATCGCACCACATGGATTGCACCGCGTGGATTGCGCTTCGTTGCTCACACCCCATAGATCGGACCACATAGACTGTACCACATGACTTATTCCACGTAGTTCACACCACCTAGATGAGCACGCTGGCTCCGTGGCGGGGCTCCGCGTAGCTTGCACAACGTAGCTTACACCGAATAGCTCACATCACATCTATTGCATGGTATACATTGCACCACTTGGACTGCAGCACCTGGCTTACACCACATCGATCGCACCAAATGTATTTCAATTTCCAAGAGAGCGTTGCGATCTATCCTCGCCCCCCTTGAAAGAAAATGCGCGCGCACTGGTTGACGAGGTGCGCACGCGCGCGTCGTCGCGCTTGCATGCCGGAATCCCTCCAAAACCTTTTTTCCGTAAGGATTTCAAAGTCGAGTGTCCCGAAAATACAGAAACAACACATTTTTTCAAGAATGGTCTGCGCACGATTTCCTGCGAATTTCTACGACAACCATCGGTATTTAACGCGTTAACCAACATCGACCAAACGGGCCTCTCGCGCGCGCATGTCGAGATCATTCGAACGACCTTGCGTGCGTGATGAGGGGGCACGGTCGCTGCCAGATAATACCATGCGGGCCAGTCGCGCCCGTCGGCCGCGCGCGCATGCCGAAATCATTCAAAGAACCTTCACCACCAACGCGTGGACACCATCATCGTCATCGGCGCGATAAGCATTGGTGCCGTCATGTGCCTTGCCTTGTCATCGTCATCGTCACTAGTATCGCTGACACCGCTGCAATCATGATCGTGCCTGCCGTCATCGACGTCGCCCCGATACCGCGCCCGCCCGAGCCACCGACTCGCATTGAGGTACCCGCGCGTCAGCGCGGCCTGTGAAACGCGCCGGGGAATCCCCAGCGGTCAGCGCCACCGACCGCGGCCACGTCGGTCGCGCCAGACTAGCTGGCCGCTTTGCGCGCGAGCCTGCTCGCGCCAGCGCGGCCGCAGCGATGCGCCAGTCAACGCCAGGCAGGCATCACAATAGCCGTCTCATTGGTTTTGTAAGCCAAGTTGCGGGTGGGTGGGATGACAACATTCACTCGTGAGCATTTGTTAATAGCACCCCGTAGATTGCATTACGTAGCTCGCACCCCATACATCGCACCACGAATATGACACCACGTCGATTTTCCTTTCTAAAAGCGAGTAGGTTCTACCACACTACCCCCCGGATTTAAAGACCCCCCTTTTCGTACTGCAATTGACATATGCTTGTGCCCCATTGTCCATCCCAACCGTGAGTTATTTCGTACTATCCCAACCAAGACGGTATCGCCCCCTTCGTTTCCCTTGCAAAAGATCCTATGCGCGCGTTCTCGTTTATTCAAAATCATAAGTTTCCGAAAGTCCGTTGCAAAACAATGGGACGAAGTGCGCACGCGCGCGTCGTCGCGCGCGCATGCCGAAATCCTTCAAAAACTTTTGGTTCCGGACGGATTTCAAAATCGAGTCTTCAAGCAAAAACGTACGAACACAGGGTTTCCCAACATGGATTTTCAAAAAAAACCTTCGCTCGCGCTCCTGCGAATTCTT